TTTCCTTTACGGGAGGCCCAGCTGCTTGTCATGCAGGCATGGTTTTACAGAGCAGCCTTTCTGCTGCGGTTGAATGGGGTGACTCTTGCATGGCTGTGATCACCACTGAGATACTTCCAAAGATAAGCAGGCCAGTCCCAGGCTCCTCGGTAGATTGAATCTCTCAGATTGGATTTTTTTATTAAATTTTATTTATTCATTCATTTATTTTTAATTTGACAGAGAGAGACACACAGAGAAAGAGAGAGGGAAAGAAGGGAAATGAGATAGCAAGCTACCAGGTCGAAGACTAGCACCGTGGTCAGTCATGTGGGAATGTCCAGCACCTTAACCACCACGCCACCTGCTGGTCCCCATCAGATTGAATTTTTAATAATGACTGTCCTAGTCTGTTCTGTTGCTGATAACAGAAACACCTGAGTGTGGGTAACGTCACTGAATAAGGTTTATTTAGCAGTTTGGAGGCTGCAAAGTCCGGGAGCACAGGGCGGGCATCTGGTGAGGGTCTTCAGGCTGCATCGCAACATGGTGGAGCAGGAGGGCACACAGGACGGGGTATTCATTCCCTCTCGTTCCTACTGTTTCATTCCCTCTCCACAAGCCCACTGAGGCTCAATCCAGAGGTGCTAATTCCCCAGGAGTTTTCGTGGTTGCCACCCACTCCTGTGACAGGGCAGGCATGCAGCCTAGTGACCTTTTAGAGCACTAAGGGGACCTGCAGTCACTTCAGCTGTGCCTGCCTGTCAGATGAGCTACCCCCAAGGTCTGGCCAAATGAGGAAACCTCCCCCATGCAGTCCCCATTTATTCATTCACTTCTTTACTCATCTGTGCATTGACTCACCCAACCCAGTGTCTCATCACCTCTTTATTCATTCACCCAGTCAATCCAGCACTCATTCATTCAGCAGTCCATTCATTCCTGTGCCTATTCATTTGCTAATGAGTCATTTGCTCATTTCTCCTCTAACTGGTACTCCTCTGCCCATCCATTCATTCACTTATCCCTTCATTCACACAGGAAGCATTTAGCAAGGCTTTTTGCAGGCCAGGAATCAGTCGCTCTCAAACTCTCTGCTCTCAGAGAGGGATATGTTATAAAAGAACTATTTAGACACTCAGAGGAGGCCGGCCTGGGGCAGGTACACGTCATACAGCTACATTGACATTCCACCACAGGTGTGGAGGGTTGAGCTAATCCTCCACCTCAGTTCACAGCATTGAACCAGCACTGGTCTGTGCACGCCCCCTCTTATGGTAGTTATTTACTTCCTTCATCCCATTCTCCCCTGCCAGTCCTTCCTCCTCCTCAAAAGTAATCATGTGCTTAATTCTAGCCTTTTGTAGGACCAGCAGGTGGCGTGGTAGTTAAGGCACTGGACACTCCCACATGGCTGACCATGGTTCAAGTTCTGGTGGCTTGCGTTCTCACTTTCCCTCTCTCTCTGTGTCTCTCTCTGGTCAAATTAAAATAAATGAGTGAAAAAAATAAAATTTTAAAAAATTCTAGCCTTTTGTTCATGGGAGTTCTTATTAAATGATAACCCGAATTCTGAATGTCTGCTTTTAATTCATGTGAATTACACTCTATGAAGATCTCGTTTTCGTTCTCCCTGTTCCCATCAGCCAGCCTCATCGTCACAGAGCACCGTGTTACCACTGCTCCACTTCTTTTTTTCCTTCCTATTCATGAAGAGAATGTGCATGCACATGAGAGAGAGAAAGAGGCCCCCCCTATAGGGCTCACTCATGCCAAAAACCCTTTCCCCAGTCCCCCAGCCCACCAGGATTCTGGGCACACATACACACACCTGTCAGGTTTTAGGCAACCAAGCCAGGGACCCAAACAGCAGTCAGTGTGTGGCCTCCAGCTTCGCAGTCCAGTAACCCACCAACGGTGCCCACAGACTGGGCCGCTTTCTATTTCTGGATCCCTTTCCCATCATCCTTGTTGAGAGTTTGTCCATCTACTCCGCACAATTTCCTGCTTCTCTTCCATGAATCCACCTTGCCCTTCATCTTATCTATTGCCTTCCACATGTCAATGATCATCTTTTCATATCTAACATTTCTACTTGGTTCTCTTCTGTAATGATTTCTGGTTCTTACTTCATGTGGCTGGTATCTTCTCAGCTCCTCAAGTAAACTTAAAACATTTATTTTAAATTCAAGGTCCATCTGCTCTGGCAAGTCTGCCTCAGAATTTTGTGTGTGGTTTCATTTCTGTCTTTCTTTTAGTCATTGTTCTCTTTGGAGCTGTGGAATAGTGTTTCTATAATGACACAGACTGGTGACGTGTTCTTGGGTGAGTGAAGGCAAGCCCCAGTCTGCACTGGGATCCAGAGTTTTAGGCAAGGACAGAGAGGACCACCAGGCACTGCATAGCCAAAGCCATATACTTCCTTCACTGGCACTTCCTCTGGCTGGGGCCTCCAGAAGGAAGCAGCCACCAGCCACAGGGACTGGAGGAGGTGCTCAGGGGATACCCAGGGAAGCCTAGTCAGTCCCTCTGTCTGGATCAATTACTCATGTCAGGCGTCTGTGTGGGGTGAGAAAGGCCAATGGCTGCCCAAGGCAAACTCTCCTCCTCAAGGCCATCCCGGCTACTGCTGTTAATTCCTAGAATCCCACATTTCCCACTCAGACCTATGGTGTCTCCAGAGATGACTTAGGGACTAGAGGGCAGCCATCTTGGCAGAAAGTTGCTGTGCTCTTGTGCTCACCTCAACCCAGCAATCTCCAAACTCAAAGGCTTCCCGTATAGACCCACTGGTATTCCCTCAGAGAACATCCTGGCTAGGCCATCTTACCAGGTTCCGTTCACAAGCACTGCTGTCTCAGGGCTCCAGAGGAGCCCATCATCCTTGTTTATGGACAAGAAATTGAAGACCAGAAAAGAGTCCCATGCTCATCCAGGGAGGGAAGCCAGGAAGGAAGGGAAAGTCCTGAGGGATTGCAAAGTGAACTGGGGAGCAGGGCTGTGATGGGTAGAGACAGGCTCTGTGCTCCAGGAGAGACAGCCGGAAGTGAGGCCTCCCCTGACACTCTTGACCTTCCTACAATATCCCTCCTTCCTTCCAACACAATTCTCTCCCCAGGTGCTGTCCAGAGCCTAGCCTTGGGGGCAATGGCTGCCCTGCTACCCCTGCTGCCCCTGGGGGCTTAGCTCCTGCTCCTGCAGGCCTCTAATGCCTTCACCTCCCTGGACCTGGCACCCCCAGAAGGCAGCAGCTGAGGCTGTGAAAACATTTCCTCACCTTCCTCCCTCAACCAACCCCAACCAGTTGACCACGGCATGTTCTCCTCGCCTCACTCCTCACATCCTGGACCCAACTACCCCATATCCCGGACAACCACTCACCCACCTCTGGAGAAGACTGAGCCCTGGGAGGCATAGCAGTGTGGGTGGACTGAGGCACCTCCCCACCTCCCTGCCTGCTTTCCTTCCTGTCAGCCATGCCCTCACCTCCTGGCTCGTCCTTCTCTACCAAACTTGAAGACCTCCTGAGCCCCTGCCTCCCTCAGGAACTCCGTCCATGACCCTGACTCGATCCCGGCTCATCAGTGCATGACAGTGATCCTGGCAGGCTGGGAATGACTGGAGGTGGAAGGATGGCGGCCTGAGCCCCTGTTGAGGGTGCATCTCTCTCTCTTTCTCTCTCTCTCTCTCCCTCTCTAAAGAAAGGGAGAAAAAGAAAGAAAGAAATACTTTAAAAAACATTTTTTTTAAAGCAAGAGATCTTGGAAGCACATACTGTTCTGGAGGAACCCCACTCACAGAAAACAGCCTGGCTCGCTCTCTTGTAATGACTTCATGCACAGCGGAGGGTGGGAAGGCAGCAGTTCCACCCACACCTGATTTGGAGCTGGCCCAGCCTTCCCAGGGTTCCTGTGCAGAGGGAGAGAGGAGTCGGCAGGCAGACGCTCCCATGGGTTGGTCTCACACAGGCAGAGCTGATGAACCTCAGCGTCTGGAGGCCCTAGGGAACGCTCCCCATTTTCCCGCAGAGTCTGTAGTGTCAATGGCATGGAGTCTGCGTGTAGAGATGTCCACGTGTAAGAATATGAGCATGTGCGTCTGCATGTGTTGGTGTGAGAATGCCTCTTGTGTTTGTACTGTGAGTGGACCGGAGTGACTGTCCCCAACCACATCCCCATGCCCTTCTCTGACCTTTGGGGAGGTGAGGCTAGTGACAGTGGGGCGCCACCTAGTGGCCTTGATCTGTGCTACATGCCACTATTCACTTTCCCCTTCTCTACCCTCCATCACCCCCACCACCATCCCCACCCCTGAAATACACACCAACACCCCTAATCCTCCCGGCTTTGTTCCTGGGACCCCCAACCCACCCAGGGACCCCTGCTCACCACCCAGGCCCCATGACAGTCCTGCAGAGACTGAAGAGAGCACTGCCCTGAGTCTCTCCCTCTATCCCAGAGTAAAGGCCTCGCAGGGGAGTCTGGCAGGCAGGGTCATATCCTGACCGTGGCAGATCACTTGACATCTCTGAACCTCAGGCCACTTGACAACAGCATGGGCTGTATCACCGTGGAATCACTGTGAGGGGTGAATAAAATGAAGGTGGAACCATCCAGCTGGGAGGGCGGGGCAGCTGCACGAAGCCGGGCACCAAGCCTGTGTTTCCTGCCTAGTGAGTGCTGCCATGGGCTCCGTGCAGAGCCTCCTCCACCAGTCCAGGCAGCCTCCCTGATTGCTTCAACCTCCCCGTCTTCCCTCTCCAGTGCAGTCTCTGCCAGCCAGCGTGTCCTCTCACTGCCCACACCCTCGTCATCTGCCATCCACCCCTCTGCCTTCCCCACCCAGCTCAGAGCTGGTCAGGGAGCACTCCAACAGCCCTGTCACTCCCCAGCAGAGGGGCTACGCTCCAGGGCTGGGGGCTCTAGTAGCCAGGGAGTTCCAAAGGGCATTCGTCTCTCCTGGTTCTGTTCTCACAACCCCACCCCTTGCACAGAGTCTACAGACACCCCATGGGGGAGGGATTGGTAGAAAGAAATAGATTTATTCTCATATACAAAGCGGTCAGCCCACGAGACCATATACAACAGTTGCACAGAGTCCTAGAAAAACGCATCTCTCTAAAGGCAACTCAGAATAGGTAAGGCAGGTGGCCCCCCTCCCCCCACCCCACAACACGGTACAGAACAGAACAGAGAAGAGGGAACCCACCGGTGAGGCTGGCCCGAGAAGCCAAGAAGCCAGCCCTCTGGGGCCTCTCAGGCCCTGGGGCACAGGTGGATATGGCCTTGAAGAGGAGAGACGCCCTGCCTGAGCTGAGGCCAGGTCCCTCTCTGGCTGTAGGAAAGGGGGAGGGCCTCAGGCCAAGGGCACACTCAGGGGACCACAGAGGGACTGGGGTGGGGCTCTCTGTGCCCTAGGGTGGCAGAGAAGCCCACGGCCTCTGTGGAGGTTCTACAGAGCGGGTCTTAGAGCACTGATTGTCAGATTGTCTTCCCTCCTGTGTTGTCCACATAGGGCAGGGGACTTGCCCAGGGCCACAGAGCCAGGAGGAAGTGCTGCTGACTCACACCTGGACCCGTGTCCCAGCCCAGGGACCCTCCCTGCCCACCAGGTCTTCCCGCATCCCCAGTCCTCAGCTCCCCTTTAATCCAGCGCTGGTTGTCAGGGTACCCAGCCCCATGGCAGAAGTAATGACGGTGTTAAGACCTCACTCAGACGCCCCACCATCCCCTTCTAAGGAGACCCCATGGGGTGGAACCCCCCAGGGGAAGAGAGCACAGAGCTGGGAGGGTGGGAATGGACACAGGAGAGACCATCCGGGCCACTCAGAGGAAGGAGGGCTGGGGAGAACTTGCCAAGGTGTGGTCAGAGGCACACAGTGGGCCTTGCTCATCGGTCACCCTGTGCTCTCAGAGGACAAATAACAAAGTCTTGGAGAGGTTGGAAGTCTTGCTTCCATTGTACAGATGAGAAAGCCGATGCCCAGGAAGGTCAGCTCTGGACCCAGGTCGCCTGGGAAGTCCTGTTCTAGAACCTAGGACCTAGGCTCTAGTTTCCAGTGCACCTGGCCAGATAGGTGAAGGATGGGAGGAGGAGGCCTGGGCAGGGCAGGGGCCCGGGGGTCACTCAGCATCGAGGCTGCAGCAGCCATTGATGGGAGCCCCAGCGCCATCCAAGTCAGGCACCTCGTACTCCTCGTCCAGGAAGTCCAGCGAGTTGTTGCTTGGCAGCCCGCGGATGGTGAACTTGTGGGACACCTTGGTCCAGTGCTCCCGGTTGGAAGCCACGCGCTCGTACAGCTCCGCTGCCTTGGGGAACAGGTCCTGCAAGAGCCTGAGGGAGCAGGGGGCACGGTCAGCTGTCGGAAACAGACCGCGGGCCGCAGGAAAGAACAGGGCTGTCCTCGGGCAGAACTCCCACGACAGGGAGGCAGGAGACGGGCACCGTGGAGAGCATGAGGGGCTCTTTCCATGGAGACCGACGAGGAAGTGGCAGGCCTGTTTAGAGGCAGAGTAGGAGAGAGCCACGCCCAGAGGCAGGGGCTGCTCAGGAGGAGGTGGGCCAGGATAAACTCGGTAGCAGAGCCTGCTGTCCGCCCACGCCCCACCCTCACCGGCTGGGCCCCGCCATCCCGGGCACTCACTTGTAGATGGGCATGGCGATGTGCTCCATGAAGCTGATCTGCAGCTCGGGGATGTAGGCCTTCTCGCGGTCCATCATCTCCATCGGCCTGTTGCCCATGGCCTTCTCCTGCGGGCATCGAGCCGTCAGACCTGGCTCTCGCCCCTCCGGCAGGCACAGGTCAGGCTGCCCCACGCCATCCCAGCCTGGCCAGGAGCCCACCCAACCTGGATGTCCCGAGGTCAGTCGCACATACCAAGTCTCCCTGGGAGAAGAATTCTTTGTAGATCAGCTCCTGGAAAGCCAATACTCTGGTCACATCCCAGGAGTGGGAGCCACCCGCCCCTGTGCCCCTGCCAGCCCATTCCCAGGACAGCACACTGAGGCCCAGGGACTGAATTCCACCTCAGGGCTGACCTCGCCAGTCCCCAGCCTGGCAGGGGCATGGCCCCAGGTGGGCAGGAGTGGTGAGATCCAGTCCACCTTCTACCAGCTGCTAACTTGCTGTGTGACCCTGCCTCGCTATCTACCTGTCACCCCAAGATGGCCTAGGTTTCTGGCTCCCTAAAACACAGCCTGGCTAAATCCTAAACAGAGAGGGTATTCGGGATGCAGGGGCCACACAGAACCAGGTAGGCAGTGGAGCCCATGCTGTCTCAGGGAGGGCAGCACCTACCGCGATCTTTCTTGTGGTCTTCCAGCCCTTGGTCTGGTCCGAGAGGTCACAGGAGGTCATCAGGAGGCAGAGGAGGAGTCTGTGGTGCTGTTTGTTGGTTCGGTCATAGCCCACTGTTGTGGGGGGAGAAGGGATCAAGGACAGGGCCCAGCCTCCCCGCCCCCTCTGAGGACACGACTCCCAGGGCCACCTCGAGCACTCTTGATGGGCACCAGGGGCCAGTGCTGGGTCTGCCCGGGGTGGAGAGGCATGCAACCAGGGAAGGGGGCGATGCTGGAGGATGGCCCAAACTCTTGGGGCTGCTCCTCTGCCAATCCTCCCTGGCAGTCCCTCCCCAGCTCCAAGCCCTGGGTTTGCTAAGGGTGGCACCTTCGGCCATCTTCTGGAGGTCCTTGAAGATGCGGAGGTGGTGGGCCAGGTCTGTGGCCAGGATGATGTCCCGCATCAGGTCCAGCATGCGCTGATAGTCCTGGGGCGGGGTGGGGGGTATCTGTATCTCGCCCACTCCTGAGGGGTCCTCTTCCCTCAGCTCCTGTCTCTGGCCAGTGCCTGCCCCTGCCCCTGCCCCTGCCCCATTACCTTCCGGGAGAAGTGATCGAAGATGTTGCAGCCGTGGGTGTTGAGGATGGCGATGGCCTGAGCGAAGTGGTGCCTCTGGGGGGAGAGCAGTAATGGGGACCCAGCTGGGGCAGGGGCCCCCCCTCACCACTAACCCCAAGAAAGGGAACAGGTACCAGCCCCAGCCCCCAGGGTCAGCAGAGCAGGCAGAAATGGGGACTTGGGGTCCTGGTTCCTGTCCTGAGCTGTTTGAACCCTCTGTGTGAACTGGGGCAAGTCCCCACCGGCTGTGAGCCTCAGACTCCTCAGCTGTCACACAGCACAATGACAAGTCAGCTCTGAGGGCCTCGCGAGCTGGAAACATTCTGAGATGATCCCGTGGCATCCCGGACACTAATTCATGCGGGAAACCTCTGCTGGCGAGGACAGGCAGTGAAGAGGAGAGGGCAAAGCCCCTGTCTCCTGCTGGTGAAGGCCTGTCACTCAGAAGCAGAGGGTAGAACAAGGGCTGCCACCAGGCCTCGCAGGGCAGAGAGCCAGCACCTGTCTCAGGGTGGGTGGGTGGTAAGTAGAGGTGGGCTCTGCAGGGATCCAGCACCGGTCTCAGAGTGGGGCTCTGCAGGGCGTGGTGAGAGGTGGCATGGGGTAAAGTGACCTTGGAAACTGGGCTTCCACTCTGTGCCAAGCCCTGTGCTAAGTGCAGAGAACTCAGAGAGGTCTAGACCTTGTCCCTTCTCCCAGGACCCTGCCCTTGTGGGGGCACACAGACCAAAACGAACACCCTCAACAGAGCGGAGCTGAGAGTGATGGGAGTAGGGCCCATTTCAGGATTAGGTAGGGGGTGCGTGGGGTGCTCCCCGACAGCCAGAGGGAAACTTGCCAAGGGCAGGTGCCCCCTTTGCAAATGCGGGCTCAGGCAGGCCCTGCTGCCCACTCCAAGAAAATGAGCCAGGCATGCCCCAGGGTGGCCGGGCTCTCAGCATGCCTGGGCAGCATAGTTTGGGGGTAGGGGGACCTGGGTCACCATCTAACTCAGCCAGGGCTGGCCCTCAGGGCATGAGGACAGGCGCTGGGAAAACGGCAGTACCTCCATGACAGAGCCCTCGGAGCTGTAGAGCGCAGCCAGCACGGATTTCTGGAAGAGCCAGGAGAACACCAGTCACCCCAGTCGGCTCCAAGTGCGTGACGTGGGCACAGCTCCCTCACACCCCTTTGGTGTCTCCGCATCGCAGGCCCAGGGCAGACCTGGCAGCGCCTCCTCCTGTCTCTAACACTGGCTCTGGTCTCCCTCCCCAGCTGCCACCTCTCCTCAGGCTTGGAGGACTGACGCCCCCAGACACTTGGGGGCAGGCTGTGAGGAGGACAGAGTCTCACCGAGGCCACCTGGAAGGAGTTGTTTGTACCCCTGTGGTCCAGATCGTGACACATGCAGGAAATAAACAAGGCAAAGATCTCGATGTCCCTGGATGGAAGCAGAGGACAGCAAGGTCATCCCACATGGAGGGTGGCGGCAGGAGGAGATGTCCAGGAGGTCAGGACACCTGTCCCCTTCTTGGCCAAGAGGCAATACTTGAAGCTGGGTAGCTCTGGGCTGAACAGGACCCACCACCCACTGGCTATGTGACGGTGAGCAAGCCCTCCTGGGGAAGGGGCTGTGCAGACGATCTGACGAGGTGGTGCCCGGAGTGCCTGCACACAGGAGGTGCTTCCGCGCCCCGGAGGAGGGGACGTAGCAGCAGCACTCACTCGAGGTAGTTGGTGAGCTCCAGGTTCTTGTAGAGCAGGTAGCAGAAGTGGGAGACAGAAAAGGCGTGCATCCAGTTGTGGTAGGGCGGGTCCCGGTAGCCCTTCTTCACCATCAGACAGAACCTGGGCGGGTGGAGAGGGCGACAGAGGAGCCTCAGCCTCTCCTCTGGGAAGACCTTCAAGGCCTGCCCCGTTTCTTCCCAGTGTCTGAAAATTTGCCTCTCATCCACAGATCCTCTCTGACCCCCGCAAGACCGGACCTCCCGTAGTTGTCTTCAGAAAGACCCCTTCCCAGAATGCAGGGAGCAAAAGGTGTGAGAGAGGAGGACAGAGGGCGACAGAAACCGGGGCTTTGTGCGCACGCACCGGGCCAGTGTCGGGCAGTCGATTTTGTAGTTGTTGATGAAATTCATGTCCTGCAGCATGCTCAGGACGGCCTGGAGAGGGCAGAGGGGGTGCTCAGATGGACAGCCCCTGCCACAGCTCTTCCTGGTGCCCCACTCTCCAACTTGAGAGCCTGAGAACCTTACCTCTAAACCAGGGAACCCCAAATAGCAGAACCTAGCATCTTCAGAGCCATGAACTTGCAGAAATCAGAGAGATCTAAGAACTAAGAACTCTTGGAGCCATGAGCATACAAAACCTTAGCAAATTAGGGAGGGCGTACAAATCCCAAGGCCTTGTGTCCCAGGCAGTCCTGGTCCACGAGCAGCTAGGGGGGCCATCCAGTCCCCCCCGGCCCCTGGCAGGCCCTGTGACAGTAAACGCCACCCCCAAGGAAGACTCCATGGCCTTCCCTGATTCCTCTGTCTGACCAGGGAGTTCTCAGACACAGCTCTCTTACATCTCTGGCTGTGCACCCTCTGCCCCTCCAGTCCAGCAGGGAAGGACCAACTCACCATCGACGTGTCATCCTCAGGCAGAGAGCGAGGGGTGTAGGTGAAACTGGCGAAGTTAGAGTCGATGGCGGCCACAGGCTGGATCCCGTCATGGAGGAGTTTGGTATATTCATCATCAGAGACCTAGAGGGTCAGCCAGGGTGTTAAAGACAGCCTCCACCGAACTCAGAGTCCTCACCCTCAAATTCCCACCACCAATGTGTGTGTAGGGGGAGGGGCCGTTGCCCAGAATGCACCACGGTTGGGCTGCCTACTCCATGGACTTCACTGTGGGAAGAGAAACCCTTCCCTCAGCCCTGTGGCCCGCTTACCATGGCTCCAGCCTGTGACTACCCCTAATCAGTAATAGCCTATCCTCGACAAAGATGGAGAACATGCTCAGTGACACCCCGAAACGGTGGCAGCCTTTTCTAGACACTAGCTCTAGTATTCCTTCTTTGGGGTGGGAGCTCCCAGTGTCTAGACTTGACCGTTCCTACTACAGCTTTGATCCTGTCTACACAGTCCAGATGCTTTGGTTCGGACACCAGTGAGTGGAAGTGTCCATGAGATAATAACTACCACGTGCTCTGAACTGAGCTAGCTCTTCTTCCCAGAGTAGAGAACGGGATAGAAGCCTAGCAATTTGGACTTCCCAGGCCTGCCTGACCACAATACCCAGGGAAACCAGGAGGAAGGCCCGGGGTGAGCTTCCTAGCATCAGTAAAGCCAAAGATGGGATTTACTTCCTGGATATGGGGACTATGTGGTTGAACCAAGTTCTTCCAGGGACCAGTCCCTCTGGCTACCTACAGCCTTAGGACCAAGCCCAGATCAGCTGGGAAGAGAGTCTGTAAGCAGGGGTGGGTAGACTGCTCCCAGCATGAGCAGGAGGCCAGGCATTGCTCTGGGCCCTTCTGCTCGGCCCTTCTTCTCGTGCTCAGGAGAGAGCAATCAGAAAGCCCAGCCTAGACCTGGTCTCCAAAGGCCCCAGACACAGGGAGGAGTGCAGAGGAGCTGGTGGCCCTAGGGCCCTGGGAGCCACCCCGTGTAGGCCTCACCTTCATGTGGTACATCATCATCTCATTGGCCAGGTGGCTGCGGTACTGGGCCTCGTTCACTTTTTTGTACAGGAGAGACTAGGGTAGAGGGGGAAAGATGAGAAAGATGAGAAAGATGAAACAAAATGGCAGTAAAATCCTAGAAATGCCCTGGACTGGGACAAAGGAGCCACATAGAATCCCCTTCCTGTCTCGTTCTGGCTCCAGTCTGAGCCTCTGAGTTCCAGCCCGGAGTAAGACTCCACCTCACTTTCATTCAGACCTCACTCCTCCTCCTCAAGTCCTTTTGGCATCTGGCATTTTGCACCCCATTCCATGTCTGACCCAGTCTGCAGTGACAGGACCCCAAGGCACGTGGCAGAGAAAGAGATGCAAAGGAGAATAAACTCGGAGACCTCAGGGTTGGCATCCCAGGCCAGAGCTCCCAGCAGCCCTGGACCATGAGGCCAACATTTCCCCAAAAGAAACTGACCAGAGGTTTGGGTTGAAGTTACTTCCCCAAAAGTGGGGAGATCATGACTGCTGGGGCTTCTCCTGGTTCTGGGACAGGACAGGAAATTGTGTCCCCAATTTTCAGATGGAGGTGACAACTTGGAATGAGGGCTGCACAGCAACGCGCAGGGACGGTCTGAGTCCTGGCCCAGGGAGCAGACCCATGTGGACAAAGCAAGGCGAGACAGTTGGAGGAGAACGGAGGGTCGCCATCCCCACTCACATGGGCGATGCTAATGCCGCAGTAGATGGAGAAGGCTGTCGCCAGGTCCTCGTCGAACTTGCTGAACCACGGCCCATTGATCTTGTTCACCAGTTCGGCCACACCGATGACCTCTGGGGAAGGGGGAGGGGCTAGGAACGACCGGTGGGGGACCCGGCGGAGACCTGCCTCCCTTTTCAAGCAAGGAAGGGGGACGTCCCATGACTAGGAACCCTCCTCGGGTCTGCTCCAGGATGCAAAGGGCGCGGGGCGGAAGGGCTGCGCACCCTCGGCTAGTCTCCGCCCCGCCCCGCTCAGGCCCCGCCCCGCCGAGCCCCGCCCGGGCCCGCCCCTCAGCCCCCCCCCCGCCGAGCCCCGCCCGGCCCCGCCCCTCCGCTCTAGCGCAGCTGCGGGCCGCACCCTGGTTCTCGTTCTTAATGGGGAAGCAGAGGATGTTGCGCGTGCGGAAGCCGGTGCTGTCGTCCACGCCGCGGTAGAAAAGTGGATGGGCATATGCGTCTGGGATGTTCAAGATCTGGCCCGTGGTCGCCACGTGGCCCGCGATGCCCTGGTCGGCGGGGATGCGGATCTCGTAGCTCTGGCGAGGAGGGCTCCCAGGGCCATAGGCTCCCGCCGCACACCCTCACCTCGTCATCCACCACGCCCCCGTCGAAGACCTTGGCCACCAGCTCGTTCTGATCCAGCAGGAACACGGAGCAGCTGTGGGAAGTGGGGGATTGGTCCGCAGGGCCTTACACCCCTCCAACTAAGTCTCAAGTCTCATGACATCAGGCTAAGGCCGAATTTCTGAGGCCTGGGAGGCTCAGGGTTGGCAGAATCTAGGCACTCCTCCATTGGCATGTTTTTTGTTTGTTGTTTTTGTTTATTTAGCACCTCCCATGGGGCAGCAGTGTGTTGGGAGCTGGGACCTAGGCAAGCTAAGCTAGCCCCACCCTGCTGTCAGTGGGTCTTGTAGTCTATAAGGGAGACAGAGGTAAAAGAGCACCCAGAGGTGTTGAGATCCCCAGAATACAGGCAGGGGGGACGTGGGAAGGAAAGGAGGTGGTAAGGCCAGAAGCCAGGCCCTCCAGGCCCTGGTAGATCCACTCACATCTCGGCATTGCTGAGGTTTCTGGCCTCTGTAATTATCTCCTGCAGCAGGACAGAGACATCGTCTGCGGAGGGAGAAGTGTGGGGCAGTGGTAACATGGGGCTGGAGCGCCTGGCCCAGTTTTCCCCTGGCCGGGCCCCCTCGCCCACCCACAGCTGGGTGTAGAGGAGGGCAGTGCTCACCCAAGTGAGTGAAGAGGTTCTTTGCCACTTGGAGAAGAGCCTGGAATGGAGGAAGTGGATATCAGATCAGAGGGGCTACAAAAAGCAAGGGTCATTTTATCGAGGCCCATTTCCAACAGCCTTAGGGTCTCTCACTTGCCCCCTACAGCTCCCAGGAAAGGCTGGAAACTCTCAGTGTCTAGTAACATCATTTGGATATTAAGTGAAGAAGTGGAGGGGTGAGGAGTGGAGGCAGGGATTGCCTCAGTGAAGTTGGGTAGGACTCTCCGCAGTCTCTGTGCCTTCACCTAGGACTCTGCTGCCCAGATGTGCTGCAGGACCCACACTGAACACTAGAGGGAGATCGCACACAGTACTGCAGCCAGCATCTGGGGCCAGAGGCGCTAGTCACCTCCCTCCTAAGCAGCTTCCAGGTGCCTAGGTTACCTATACTGACCTCCCTCCCTAAGCAGCTTCCAGGTGCCTAGGTTACCTAGGCTAGGGCAGGGCTGCCGCTAACCCAGGGAGACAGAGGCATTGCCTTGAGAGATGAGAGCTGGCAGACAGGTCACTCACCTGGCACTCACACTTGAGCTTCTGCTCCTTCTGGAAGGCCAGGGTGCTGGAGAGCACTGTGCTGGTGTAGTGGAAGCAGTGCTGGATCACATGCTCATCTTGGGCTGTGAACCTGGGGGAGGGCATGGGGTCAGAAGAGGAGGGGGAACACGGGGCTCTCTCCTCATCTCCTTACTTCCATCCTGCCGGGAAGTGCCCCACCGAGAGATCCACCAGCTAACCATGCCTTTCCTCCACGGGGCTGCTCCACTGCCAGGTGCCTGGACCAGCCTTCCCTCAGAATGGGGGCTCCCTCCATCTAGAGACTTCTCCAGGCTACAGCACAGTGTTCTCTCCTCCAGGCAGCCCTCCAGCCTCAGGGAGGGGCGGTGGCACTGCCTTGTCTTGTCCAGCCCCTGTCATACCCTGTTCTTACTGGACTCTGCTGACCCTGACTAGCTCCTCCAGACACCCCAAGGTGGCGATGGGGAGAGCAGTGCTGGCACTAACAGATCTAGCTCTCGCCTGACGCCTGACAAGATCAGCCCCAAGGCCTGCTGGGGTCATTCAGTCTGGCTACCAAATGATTTGTCACCAATGAGCTGCAGGGAGCTCGGCAGACCGACGGTGGGAATCATGGAGATTGCTTCAGCCCCCATTTCTCTGCCCCCAGATTTCCCTGTCTAGGCCTCGCCCCAGTTTTGGCTGGCCTCAGGGAACCTCACTGCCAGGGTACCCCCTACTCATGTTTATTGTCCATGTCCAGCTCTAGATCCCAACCCCCCTGCCCTGAGGCTGCCTGCCTACCTCCCTTACCATGGCATCTGAGGCCCCTCAGCTGGTCCCACCCTCCCCTTGCCCCATATCCATGGGCATCTCTCAGTTCAGCCATGTGCAGTTTCTCAGCATTCTGAGAAAACCTCCGACTCTTTCACACCGTTGCGCCTTTTCCACACTGTTCCTCCACCTAGGATACCCTTCCCACCCTCCTCCACTATGCCCTGAAAAGTCTTGAAGGTGGGGGCCATGGCTGTACCACCACATGGCCAATGCAGAGCCTGGTACAGAGGCGATATCTGGGCGTGTGTGATAACTGCTTAACTGTGCCCAACCCCAGGCCCCACCACCAGCCCCTCAACCTCCCAGACAAGGGATTCTGGAGCCCCATCCTCTGGCTATTTGGCTAAGTTCCAGGAAGCGTCTCTGCAGTTGTGGCTCTGAGCCGAGGCCCCCTGCCCCTCTCTGGCTTGTGCAGTCATTCAACACTCACTCCCTGAAATAAGCGGGACCCAGACATGACTCTGCCCCAACCCTGGGCCTCAGGGCTGTCCCCAGGCCCCCACCTTGTTCTGATACCACCTCTTCTTCAGGTCTGGGACCATCCCAGAAGCCAGTCCCATGGCCAGCAGCCGGAGGTCATGGCCCCTGCTGGACCTCCCATTTACTCTGCATTCCCTCCCCAGAGCTCCTCTGAAGGCCACCTGGCCAGCGCTACGGGAGACTCGCTAGGTGTTCAGGGTGTGTTAAATATCAGAAATCCTCCCATCACCAGGATGCCTACCAGTGCCAAATGCCACAGATCCCACAGCGGCCCTGCGTCAGCTGGTTCCGCCTGTCCCCGTCTTCATTCCCCAGGCCTGCCCAACTGTCTCCAGAGTGTCATGCTGACAGGTCCTGCTGCTCAATGTTAGGACTCCAGGGTCTCTGCCCCACCCCTGCAGACCTCAGCCGTGGGTTCTCACACCTCTTCAGAGCCCACCTTTCCAGGCTCCTCCTGCAGGTGCTGTAGGCCCTCAGACCTAGCCTGCTTGTTTAGTCCCCAGCCAAGAATCCTGCCAGTGACTCTGCATCAGAATCGACCCCGCTTCTGCCTACTTCGCCACACCTGCCCGTAGAACTCAGCATGACCTGCCAGACCTGCAAGCCCCAGTGTGAGCTGCACCCAGGACAGACATGGCTCATCAAACACAGCGCTGTTTCTCACCAAACAGACATCCATTCTCAACAGCATGATTCAGGCAGCTACTGCCAATGAATGAATTCGTGTAGATTGTGAGATCTACTTCCAATACCAATGCTAGAGTCCAAGTTTGACCTCAGATCTTGAGATTTCCTGACTAAGCCTCTAGGTCTGTGTACCCATACACTGTGCCCTGCCCCCCCCCCCGGCTTTGTACCATCCTTTCAATTGCCCTGTCAGTGGCTCAGAAGACCCTCAGGTGATCCCAGCCACGAGCTTTTTCCCTTCAGCCATTGCGCATTGTGTCGATGATGCTCTGCGGGTCCTAGGAAGTTCACCCATCTCAGAGCTCACCTGCCCCAACCCCCCATGAGGCAGTTTCCAATAGTAATGTAGAAACAGGAAATGGCAAGTGGGAGGAACAGCAAGTGGGAGGATAACCTAAGCTGTAAGAAGTGGGGAAAGAGAAGGGGAACAGGCTTGGACCTCAACATGACTGTAAGTAAGCCAAATGGATGACCGCAGGTCAGCGATTACCGGTGCCTCAGCCAGCAGCTGCTGCAAGGGTCCAGTAGCCCCCATAACTCCAGCCTCTTGCAAACTAGTCAGCCCACCACTGCTGGAGCTGGGATAGAAACCCTGTCTGGTACTCCTCCCACATGCTACCCTGTGGAGCCCAGCTCAGCCCCGCCTCCTGATCCACATTGCCCCATCCAGACTCACAAGTCTCCTCCAAGCTTGTTGAAAGTACAGGCCAAGGCTACCACTTGGTCAGTGGCCCGGCTAATGACAGGGACACAAAGCATGGCCTGCAGCTCACAGCCCAACATGGTTTGAAGTTGCTGCACATCCTCCTGCAAAGGGCAGGCAAGAAGGGGAGTCAGGCCAGGGAAGGAGAGGGAGTATGCTTCCTGCCCAGCCCACCCCGCTCTGCAGTAGGCAGCTCTAAGGGACTCATGCAGGGCTGGGATGGAACAGCAGGATGTCTCCCCCATTCCTCGGCTGCCCTGTCCCATCTCTGGGGGTTCCCCTTTCCCCTCCCCTGGTTCAGCCAGGTCATGGCTTACAGAGGTGAGGTCCTTCAGCTGGATACACTTCTTGTCTTCCACCACCTGGCCCAGGCGTCCTGCCAGCTGGGAAGTGAAGAGAGGCTGAGTCAGGGCCCAGCTCTCCCCAGATCAGAGGACCTCAACCCACACCCACTACCAAGGCTGTAAGTTTCAACGAACTGTTCATTCAGTGCAAATGGTGAGAAGAGTCAGCCCTCGGGGGCAGGACGGGGAGGAGGGACTGGCAGGAGCCCCCGTAGAGGAGGTTCTCCCCAACTGGGAGAAAGGTAGGCAGACTCTGAGGGCGGAGCTCATTGATCTCAACAGAGTCTAACAGAAACCAATCCAGAAATACTCTCACTGATCCAGCCAGCCATATTCGAGTGCTCTAGTCCCAAGGAAATTCTCTGTGGATGACAAGAGAAGTCTCCTAAAGGAGCCTGAGCATGAGGCTATGATCTCTTGCAACATTTCTCAGAAGATCCCAAGATCCAAATATTCCATCAGATTCCAAGAGATTCCAAAGGATGCCAGTCCCTCTAGATTCCTGCCTCGCTGGCAGCCCTGCAGACTCCAACAGGGCACAGACATGGACTCACAGGAAAGCTGATCTCTTCTCCCAGCACTTTGTCTCCGATAACCTGGGGGACGAGTGGACGGAGTGGTTAAGACAAAGACCAGGTCCAGCCTCCCCCCCCAAGACCCGGGTTCCTCCCCAAGCCCTCACCCATCCACAATGGACCTGGGTCCTCACCTTGCAGGAAAGCTGGAGATTGTCCTCTGACACCAGCAGGAGGCAGCACCGGGACGCCTGGGTCTCCAGTTGCAGCTGGGAGGGAAGGACAGACAGAGCGAGGGGCTGACAACGGACCTGGGGCCACCCCTCCCCCCAGTCTCCGGTCTCTCTGAGGCTCTGGGGCAGGTTGAAGAGAGGCTGGGGCGGGACGTCGGAAATCGAACTGAGATGGAGGACTTAAGGGGACCTTGGTCCCTGGAGGGAGTCAGGGCGGAGGGGCACAGGTACTCACGTATTGGAGCACTTTGAGCTGCAGGGAAGAGGCATCCAGATCATAGAGTTCCCCTGCAAAGGCGGGGCCGGGTCAGAGAGAAGGCCTTCCCCACTCCCACCTCGAAGCCAGGTCCCTCAGACGCCGCCTAGCCCATAGACTCCCCCAAGGCTCTGCCCCCTGCTGTTTCCGACTCCAAGTGACCGCACTGCCCACAACGCCCTAAGTGCTGCCCAGGCCCCGCCCACCTTGCGGGCTGGTCTGTCTCGCAGGTTCCGCCCACCTCGCAGGCTCCGCCCACCCATGGGCCCGGCCTTCATCCCTCCGGGTTCGCCCCGGCCCCGCCCTCGGGACCTGCCCAGGGGGCCTGCCCAGACCACCAGCCTAGGCCGGGCTCTCACCGCACAGCTGCAGGATCTTTCGGTCTTGGTCCGTGTACTCAGTGGCGCCCTTCTGGTCTTCCTCCGAGCTCTGGACGGTTCCGGGGGCCGCGCCGAGCCCGCGCTGTTGCAGGGCCTGCACCCTCCGCAGGGCCACCAGGGTCTGGGACGGGCCAGACGGTCAGCACGTCATCACCCTGCCCTCACAGCGCAAGGCGCTGCGGGACTCCACGCCTTTGCTTAAGCCGTTCCCTGGGCCTGCCGGGCAGTACCATCGCCCCCGCCTCCACACAAACAACTCCTCCCCAGGATTCCCACTCTCTCTCCGTCCCTGAACAACCAAGTACGGGGTCTTTCTCCACCCCAACCCCCAAATTCTTCCAAGACAGGACAGGGTCCGATTTCCATATTCCCAGCACCCACCGAGAGTCGTAAGTCCTTGTTAAAATCACATAAATACACACAAAATAATAATAATAAAAGCTCAGAGAAGAAAGAGCCTCAGAATCAGGCTGAGAGGTACCGAGACTTGCTCAAGTTCACATAGCTCAAGGGTGGGGGAGCCGGGCTAGAGCCGGGTCTGTGCACCCTCCTGGCCAGGCCATCTTCCCAGCAGCAGCCACGCCCTACTCACATGCTTCTCCACCGCCTGCAGGCTCCACTCCTCCCTGTCGCTCAGCTGGCCACAGTGCACCTGGAGGGGTGGGACAGAGGACAGGCTGCGGACTCTCCCAGCCTCTGTCTCTGCCAGGGTGCCTCCCCATGCCAGCACACACAGTCCCCCACAAACACACACACTCCAGCCTTGACTTGCGTGATAAGCCGGTCCTCTGACCACACAGCTCAGGAAAAGCCCCTCCTGCAAGACGCCTTCCTGGGCTGATGCAAAGAAGTGGTACTTTTCTGTCCCTGCCTTTTCCATCACTGACCCAGTGACAGCTCAGTCCAGGTGTTGGAGAAGAGGGCCTCGGACCCCTCTCCATCTTGGAGCGCATGCAGCCCGTCAGGCCCCCGTTGTAGAATTAGTGGTATCAGCCTCAGCCTATCTGAGTTAGGGTCTGAGCTGTCCCTAGGTCTAGGACAAAGGCAGAGGGCCATCAGATGCCTCTGCTGTGTGTGTGTGTGTGGGGGGGGGATGGACGAATGAATGAGCAGATTGATGAAGTGCTTTGCCCTGCATGGCTTCTCACCATCATATGATGCAAGGGTCCACCTTGCCGCTGAGCCAAGGCCCAGAAAGGTTGAGTGACTTGCCTGAGGTCACGTAGCAAAAAGTGGTAGAGCTAGGATAGCACCGCCCACTCTTGCCCCTTCTCTTCCCTACCTCTCCAGACGGCCCAATCACCTGTCCCTCTCCAAGTTTCCTGTGTCAGCCCCCTCATAGTCGGCCCATCCTTCATAGTCTGTTAGTCCTTTCTCTCATCCCTGGTTGGGTGCTTGTCGAGGAAAATGAGAGAGGGGGAAGGAGAGGTGGCAGGCTAGGGGCCCAATACAGGCCCTGCCAGCAAGGCTCCCCACCTGCGTCAGGCTTCCGGTGCCTACTCAAAGCTGCTCACCGCCTGTGGAGCTCCCCACAGTGCCTACACTGGGGCCCCCCTTCATCCTCCCTCCCCACTTAGCAGCCCTGCCTGCCTCTGCTTTGGGTCCCCTGCCAGGAGCAGATGGAGAGGAGGAGACCAACCAGCAGGTTCTCGGGAAGCTCAAGGCCTGGCTGGGACTGTGGGAGCTCAGAGGGGGAGGGCATCTGGGAGGCTTCCTGAGTTGGCACTGAAGCCTGGGGAGGGCAAGCAGAGCCTGGAGAGAGGGCACCATGCTGGCAGGAAGCTGTCCTGGAGTGCTGGGTGGTAGGTGAAGTGTGGAGTTGAGGACTAGGCAAGGCTGGGGCCCATGGTGTCACAGAGGGAAGGGCCTTGGGTGCCAGGCTAGGAAGTCAGAGTACTGGGGAGCTAGGGCAGGCTTTAGCACCTGAAGGCCATAGTGTCTGGGGTGTAGATGAATGGGCAGGAGCAAGACAGGAGGCAGAAAAACCTGGACGAGACCGAGGCTGCGGAAGATGGTGGGGTTTAAGCTCTGGAGGAGGCTCCCTCTATGATGACTCGCACAGGACAGGGAGTTGGTTCATTCTCATGCAGTTTACATAAATACGTTGGCATTTAACTGTTAGTACATGGAGGAGGACACCCTCCTCGTTCCTTCCATCTGGACCCATCTCTCGGCAAAGGGGAGTGTGGGATCCCTCTAAGACTGTGGGAGCAACCAGCTTCTGGGCTGCAAACGGCCTGATCCCAGGTACAGAGCTGGAAAATTAGAAAGGCCGAAGGAGAGGAAAGAATTGTGGAGTCCTCTTTCCCAAGGGGGCCTCCACAGCCTGCAGCACACAGTCCTGGGCTGCCTCGGCCAAATGCACATGCACATTCACATGAAGAACCTCAGAACCCCCCAACACACTCACGCTAACCCACGGGGATATTCAGGTGCATGTGTGCACAGACATACACAGTGCAGTCACAGAGGTATCCGCACACTCACGCTTACAGTGTCCACACCATCCACCTGTACACCTTCACGCACACAGTCAAGCTCGTATACCCAAGAGGCATGCACACGCTTCTAGCACCCCCATGCACAAACACATGCGATCACTCTGACACACTCACACAGCTTTGGCTCACCAACAGGAACACACACTTGCACGTGCTCTTGCTAATCAGGCCAGGTGTCTGAGGCCCAATGGGCTATAGAGAGGGTTAAAAGCCAGTGCAGTCCCCAGGCCCCACCCTCGCCTAGTTCAACATGGCTAATGGCATGAACACACCATCCCCATATATAGAGCTGGCATGGCTGGCACAGCTGGGAGACAAGTGGGCAGAAATTAAGTCTCAAATGCCAGAGACCGAGGGCCACCCACTCCTCAAAGGGACTTGTTATCCTAGAACTGAAAAACAGAGACCAAGACTCTTTCCACACAAAGACTCTGCAATTGAGGTGCCTCGAGCTGCCTACTAACTGCAAAGGCCCAGAACTGAACAACCCAGCCCTGCACCACCCAGCCCTGCACCTGGACAGCATTTACCTGAGAGCCCTCTGTAGACCCTCTCTTCCCCGGGCCCCAGCATTCCTTGCAAGGCTGCCTGGCCTCCTTGCTAGCACCTGCCGTCATTTGCAATGCTGTCCTTATTTTGCTCCCTTGTTTAATGCCCTCCAGACTGTCTGTGAAGACAGGGCCTGAGGTCTGTCCTGGTCACCTCCGTGTTCCCAGCACTTGGCATAGTCCTGGTGCAGTGAGTACTCCAGAACGAGTTCTTCCATTGATGGGAGGTGGTAAATGAATCAATGACAAGAGCAAGACTCGGAGAGGGGAATGGGGCTTGCATGGAAGGAGCTGGTGACAGCCCTTCCAAAGGTCTGCCTGTGGCAGCCCCTCTGTCCTCTGCACCTGCTGCTCTCAGGACCCGGCCACAGTTGCCTCCTCTGCCCTGGGGAGGATGTGCAATCCCGTGACCTGGGCAGCACTTGTTGCATATGTGTGCTCTGGGGAGAGGGCCATTCTGGGGAAGTGCATTTCTGCATGAGTGGGAAGGTGACGCCTGCAGGAGAGATGGACTGAATCGTCCAAACACCTCCCAGAGCTCTTCACTGCCCAGGGAGCTGGAGAAGGAGAGGGGACAGTTGTCAGAAACTTCCCCTGACAGCCCGACCCCAGGCGACATCTTCCTCGATGATGGAAGTGCACCCCACACTTCAGGCTGCCAAGGGTCACATCTTCCCTCAACACCCCCCACCCTCGTGTATGCTGTTCCCTCTGCCTAGAATACCCTTCCCTTCCCTGCCTGCTGACCTCCTGCCTAGGCTCCCAAGCCCCATCAAATTCCTTCTCCACCATGAGGCACCCCTTGATGTTCCAGAGCACCTGTGGTGACCTCGGGGTGTCCCTGCTTCCCCTAGACTGAGAACTCTCACAAAGCAGAAATAGTTTGCTCTGGCACCCAGCCCGGGCAAGGCAGGGCCCAGAGCAGGAATTGCTGGTGAGTTAAATTTAAGTGATCTGGGATGAGAAGATGGCATAATGGTTACATCACTAGACTCTCACAGAATCGACAGCAGTTTGAGTCCTGGACCCGGCAACTTATGTGTGCGTGCCCAAAAAATCCCAAGAGGAGAATGGAGGAGAAGGAATTGCAGTGTGGCCATCCCCCCCGGGGATGATTCCTCGCTTTCTGTCTCTCTGTCTCTCCAGCAAGCACATATGTCTTATAGCAAAAATCTCTCTAAATTAATTAATTAAGTTAATTAATTTAAGTGATCTGACTTTACTGCTGCCACCACACACAAGCATGCACACACACACACACACACACACACACACACACACATACACACATGCCTCTTCTCTCCTGGAAGAAGGCTGAGGCCTGGACTCCTGGGCCAAAATGAGCCAAGGGGCATAGCAGCCACCCCCCAGTCCACAAGAAGAACAACCTTCTCAATGATGTTCCCCGTGCTTCCCTCTGACCCAGCTCTCACAGTCTCACCTCAACAGAGGGAACTCCTTCCCAGGTTCCTGGCACCCCTAGGCCCCTTTCCCTCAACTGAGGAGGCGGGCCACTGATCACAGCCTCTCCACCCTGCACCTCTGCACGCTGCCCCACACCCTGGTCCTCCTCGACAGGGAGCAAAGTGGTGCCAAGTAGGGATCTTGTCGTCCACCCCGCCTCCAGGCAGATGAGCAGAGAGGAGCCCAAGACAGAAACCCTCCTCTTCTCTCCCCTGCTTCCCACAGAGCTGCCAGCTCCAGCCAGCAGGGGAAAGGTCAGGCTCCTGGAAACCTTTCATTCCATTCTAATGAGCTGGGAGGAGTACCCTGGGAGCACTGAACTGGCTCATGTATTTGCCCATGCCCCTAAGCCTGCTTCTTACTGGGGTGGCCGCTGCCTTGGTGGGCACAGACCCCCAGTGATGGTGACTGGAGCACTCGCTCTGTTTTCTAGGGCAAGACAAGCTCGAGCCTCCTCTCCTCCCCTACAATAGAGCAGAAACCCAGAGCTCTGTAAGTTGCCACAGAGGGCAGTGGTGGGCCCTGGCCGGGGTTCCTGGCCTAGCTGCACCATGAAAACCAGCCCCTCTTCCCACCAAGGCACTTCCTCTTCCCTTTCCCGTGATCACCCACTCCAGGAAGCCCACCCCACTTGCCCAGCCTCAGTCCCAGGTCTGGCTGGGACTTGATGTGCTCCCTGCGGGCGTCCTCACTCCAACCATCCCATCTCTGGTTGGGGCTCCCACACTGTCTCTAGTAGTCAATGTTTTCTGTCCATCCGTCCCTCCTTGGTGTCTCTGAACCACTTCCTACTTCACTGTTTCATGTCCTCTTGGGCACTGCCCCCAACCCATCTTGGGGCATCCCAAAGAGGAACCTGGTCAGCACTGTGCCAAGGGCTGGGCTCACACAGCTCCGCGGGGGCTGAGAGTCCATGGGGGTGTACAGCCCTCGGGGAGTTTCCGATTTGGCCAGTGACTTCGCCCTGCTCCTTCAAGGAGGCTGAGGGCTAGGCTGACCCCAAGACGCCTCAGGTCCCCTCATACCATCCTAGTTTGCTGTGTTCATGCATGCACATGCACACACACACACACACACACGTATGCACGCACATGCACACCCACGCATACGCACGCACGCACAACCCAACAGGCTTCGTCTCTTCCCTCTCCCCAGGTCCTCCCACCGCAGCCCAGACAGGCTCTTACCACGAGGACGGCTGGCACAGCCCCGGCCTCCTTGTCCACCAGCGGTATGACCAGCACTGAGGGGGAGAGGGCAATGAGGTGGTCCTGCAGGGTCAGGGAGGCTCAGAAATACTGAGCTAGGACTCAGGGAGGGAGACAAAGACACAGACAGAGAGAGACTAGGACAGAGACACAGAGACCCAGTGACCCAGAGAGACAGACAGGGGTCCTGAAGCAGCAACGAAAACAACCACAGCAATGACCCCTGCCTAGAAGGAAACCCCCTCACTTGACGGCTTGTTCATGATCCTCCCAGCAGCCCTGGGAAGGAGGGAGGCAGGTAAGGCCAAGTACCCCTGTTTTACAGCTTGGGAAACTAAGGTCCAAAAGGGGAAGTGACTTGCCCAAGATCACACAGCAAGTCAGGTTTCCTGACTCCCAGTCTTGTGCACTTTCCACATCGAGACAGAGGACAGAGACCTAGAGAGACTGAGACATGAGGCAGAGAGAAATGGCGGACAGGGGGCATGGAGAGGAAGAGGAAGAGAAACAGTGACAGAGAGAGCATGACGGCAGCGACAGCCCCATCCAGCACCAGGCACAGCCCATCACAGCCTCGGCCGCCGTCCGCCGAGCCCTGGCACGTGCCAGGCTCTTGACATGCGTCCTCACAATTGTTCCTCCTCACAAGACCCCCTCGAGGCAGGCACAATTGTCCCCATTTCACAGTCAGGAAGTGGAGGCTCAGAGAGGTTAGTAGCACAACAGAGAGAGAATTAGATTGGGGCTTGCCAGAGACACAGAGCCAGAGAGAGAAAGAGACAGCCAGATGAGGATGGGCGGCAGACAGACATGACCGGGAGCAGGACTACCGCCCTCCCTGGCCCTGCCCAGCTCCCAGCCCTTACCTTGGGTGTCCGGAGGCAGTGGAGCCACCAGCCTGGCCAAGGGCTTCCCTGGCAGGTCCGAGGGGCCCAGTCCATTGCAGCCCAGTCGCTTCCCAGAGATCACAGCCTCTCTGGAGAGAGAACATGATCCCACCCTTAGCCTTGGCCCAGAGAGTAGCCCACACCTGGGGACATACAGCAGACGGACCTCGCACGTGTGCGAGGATCAGGACCCGCTGGCCTGCCTTGGGGTGCTCAGAAGGAGAGAGAAAATAAAAGAGCTGGGGCCCCTGGCCCGTGTGCTGGGAGCAGGCAGCCACAGTTTGGCCCCCAGTGCCTCTTGCTGTAGATGTGGGGAAGGCGCGTGAGGGCCCAGCACGGTCCCCAGACAACGACGAAAACAGGGACTGCAAGAGCGCGGGCAGCCTAGGTGACACCCTGCCTCTACCTGAGCTCGGCCAAGTGACCTGACTTCTCTGTCCCTCCCAGAGAGAAAGGACTAGGGTGGGGACAGTAGAACCCCAACCACGGCCATCCCCCAAGAGCAATTGCAGAGCAGCTTTCGGGGCTCAGTGAAGGAGAGAGGCCTCCAAGGCGGTCATCGTAACCAAGGTCACTGCACATCTCCTGTCTCCACGCAGGCCAGCCTCAGCAAGGGGTGGTTGGACACCCTCGTCTCTGTCTCCAGGAGGAGACACTAAGGCACAGAGAGGCTACGGAACCTACCTGAGGTCACACAGCTAGTAAATGGTATAGCTAGGGTTTGAATCCAGCAGCTGGCACCAGGGCTGGGTTTAACCACTGTGCCCAGATCTTCCCAAAGAGACCTGTAGGGGTGTGAACCTGGGATGGGAGACTGGCCTGAGTGTCAGGTGTGATGGGAAAGGGGGATCAGGAAGGACTCTCTGCCCCCACCACACAAACCGCTCTCCCCTCTGGCCTTTGGCTCTTCCTGCTTAAATAAGCATTTGTTTTTTCACCAAATGTCACTCCCTAAGGATTAATCATCCCGGTCCCTCATCCCTCATCCCTCATCCTACAAACTTAACTGTTTGTAGGAACCTCCCAGACTGGGCAGAAGAAAACTGTGTGAGGCTGGGACCCTGGTGTGTGCATGTGAGGCCACTGAGGGGAACCTGACAGGTTGGATGAGGCAAAGAGAGGGGGTGGCCAGCAAGTCGCCAGATCAGGAGGACACAGCTGCCAGAGAAGTCGAGGACCAAAGATGGGAAGTATCTGTTCAAGTGCACACAGCATTTTTTTAAGAGAGATTTTTTGTTATAGGGCACGTGTGCTCTCTGGAGAGACAGAGAGACAGAAAGTGAGAAATCACTTCCCGGGAGGATGGTCATGCCGCAATCCCTTCTCCTCCATTCTTCTCTCGGGACTTTGGGCACGCACACACATGCGCCTGGTATGAGCTTAAGTCACTAGGTCAGGGCCTCGAGCTGTGGTCAACCACGTGGGAGTCTAGCGATATAACCATTATGCCATCTGCTGGTCCCTCACACAGCATTTTCAACCAGAGCAGGTTTAAGGCTCCTGGAGTGCTGGGCTCCCGTCTCCACAGGAGGGAATAAGGGCCTGGGTTGGCAGGAGGGCACTGGCAGCCATGTTTCCTGGTGACTAGACTGAGGAACCCTTCATGGGGTCATGGGGACCAAATCCCACCCTGCTGCTGACAATCTGGTAATCAGGAAGCCACTAGGTGGCGCTGATCCCAGCATCGCTGCGCAGTGTGTGCTGCAGCCTGCACCCCCTCACTTCCCCCTTCCTACCCACCCAGGGCCCTGTAAGGATCTGTTCTCAGACCACCCCAACCCTGTGCTCCAAACCCCAGATACCCAAAGGCCACTGAGGGGCCTCCTCTGGATGCCCCTGAGGTGCCCAAAGGTGTCTCAATCTGAACTCAGCACCTCCATCCTCACTCAGGCAGCCATCTACTGAGTCCTTTGTGGCTCGCCCCCAAAACTGTCCCAGCTGCTTCCCTTTTGCCTCCCCCTCCACCTGCCACTCATCTCTCACAACTGCCCCAAGCCACTGCCCAGCTCAAATGGGAGACACCTCCCCTGGACCCTGCAGCAGCCTTCCTTGGCCTCCAGCCTCCTGCCTGGCACTCATAAATCCACCCTCCACACCAGAGCAAGAGTTTCCTAGGGCTGGCCCATGGCCTGGTGATTAAGGGAACCAGATCACACATGGCTGACCACAGGTTTGAGTCCCAGACCTGGTGGCTTGAAAAACACACTGGGCACATGTGTGTGCCCCAAATCTCAACAGGGTGCAGAGATGGAAGAGACAGGATTGCGGCGTGACCACTCCCCTCTGGAGGAGCTTTCTCCCTCTTTCTCTGAAGAGGCACACTCTGGCTTCTGAACAAAAGAAGAAAGAGAAGCAGAAGCAGCAGCAGCAGCAGTAGAAGGAGGAGGGGAAGAGGAGAAGGAGAAAAGAAGAAGAAAAGAAGAATATGTTTCCTAAACTAAGAACCTGGCGGGAAGGTTCTACTAAAGTCCTCATTCCGTAGGGCCCGCTCAGTAGTTTGGCACTGAGGGCCGAGATGAGAAAAGGAGTTGGACACACGCCTGGCTCGAGGAGCCCAGCGTCACGTGGACACAGCATACAGGCCCACACTGAGTGGGCAGATGAGGCTCTGACAGAGAGCAGATCCCAGCCTACCCACAGGCAGGATGGGAGTGGGGCCTGAGAAAGCCTCCTGGAGGAAGCGATGCCTGAGCCGAACCCTGAAGAACATGCAAAGGTTATTAAGGCACACGGGAAAAGAAGGGCAGGCAGAGGGCGTGGCATGTGCAAAGGCTCCGGGGAAAGACTGGGTGTCTGCTAGGAGGTCCACGGGGAGGCTCTTCAGAGAGCGAGGCTAGACAGGGCAGGATCTAAGGAGCTGGGCTGGACCCTGAGGGCAGTGGGAGCCCTGGCAGGGGTGGGAGGGGATCTGAGCAGGGAAATGTAACGATCAGGCTTGGTTTTAGACTAATCATGCTGGCTGCCTGACTGAAACTCACGAGGGGAGAAGCTGGAGCCAGAAATCCAGTTTCGGTGAAGGTTCAGCATGTTAGTGGCCCTGGACCAGCGAGGAGAGCCTGAGCACGGGAAGATCACCCTTGCCTGATCCCAGGTTCCCCCTCCAAGCACTGGGGCCTCCCTACGTCCTCAACTCTCAGGAACTTTTGGCACCTTGCTCTGCAGCCTGCCACCACCTGGCCCTGTCACCGGATAGGGTTGTCACATCTCAGCCCACCCTGGGTGAGCCCCTTTCCCCAATCCTGCCCTTCCCAGAATCGCTGTCTTCTTCCAGGCTGCAAAGACACCCACAGCCTGCAAGGTGTGTGCGTGTGTGTGTGTGTGTGTGTGTGTGTGTGTGCTCCCTCTTTCTCTGAAGAGGCACACTCTGGCTTCTGAACAAAAGAAGAAAGAGAAGCAGAAGCAGCAGCAGCAGCAGTAGAAGGAGGAGGGGAAGAGGAGAAGGAGAAAAGAAGAAGAAAAGAAGAATATGTTTCCTAAACTAAGAACCTGGCGGGAAGGTTCTACTAAAGTCCTCATTCCGTAGGGCCCGCTCAGTAGTTTGGCACTGAGGGCCGAGATGAGAAAAGGAGTTGGACACACGCCTGGCTCGAGGAGCCCAGCGTCACGTGGACACAGCATACAGCCCCACACTGAGTGGGCAGATGAGGCTCTGACAGAGAGCAGATCCCAGCCTACCCACAGGCAGGATGGGAGTGGGGCCTGAGAAAGCCTCCTGGAGGAAGCGATGCCTGAGCCGAACCCTGAAGAACATGCAAAGGTTATTAAGGCACACGGGAAAAGAAGGGCAGGCAGAGGGCGTGGCATGTGCAAAGGCTCCGGGGAAAGACTGGGTGTCTGCTAGGAGGTCCACGGGGAGGCTCTTCAGAGAGCGAGGCTAGACAGGGCAGGATCTAAGGAGCTGGGCTGGACCCTGAGGGCAGTGGGAGCCCTGGCAGGGGTGGGAGGGGATCTGAGCAGGGAAATGTAACGATCAGGCTTGGTTTTAGACTAATCATGCTGGCTGCCTGACTGAAACTCACGAGGGGAGAAGCTGGAGCCAGAAATCCGGTTTCGGTGAAGGTTCAGCATGTTAGTGGCCCTGGACCAGCGAGGAGAGCCTGAGCACGGGAAGATCACCCTTGCCTGATCCCAGGTTCCCCCTCCAAGCACTGGGGCCTCCCTACGTCCTCAACTCTCAGGAACTTTTGGCACCTTGCTCTGCAGCCTGCCACCACCTGGCCCTGTCACCGGATAGGGTTGTCACATCTCAGCCCACCCTGGGTGAGCCCCTTTCCCCAATCCTGCCCTTCCCAGAATCGCTGTCTTCTTCCAGGCTGCAAAGACACCCACAGCCTGCAAGGTGTGTGCGTGTGTGTGTGTGTGTGTGTGTGTGTGTGTGAGGCAGGGGCTGCCAGGGCCAAGTCTCCCCACTCGCATAGGAATGGGGGCTTCGGGCTACTGCTCAGACCCCCTGAACGGCTCCCCTCCACTCAGAGCCCTCCCTGCCTCACTCCCCATCCCCTGCCCCACCTCCTGGCTGATCCTGGGGCTTGGAGGGACTCTGCACCCCAGGGCCAGCTGTTCAAGCTGAAGACTGATGACTCAGCCCTGGGTGCCTGGGTGGCCATGGTCTGTCCCACTGAAGATAAAGACAGATGGGCACGGAGTGGAGAGGCACAGGCGTGGATTTTATGACGGTTCCATCCCTTTTAACAACTATTTGCTTAATGCAAAAGCGTAGAGGAAAGGTCTCAGCTGACAGCGCCAATGGCCTGCAAGGCTGAGTGGTCCCCTCCACCTCCCGAACCCCTGCAGCCTCCTCCCAGCCTCTTCTTCGCCGGGGCCCCTTTTCCTCCACTGAACCCCACTCCCTAACTGTCCCTCACTGAACCTCCAACTCTCACAGAGCCTTGACCTCTTTCTGAGGAGGAATTCTCAGAGACAAATTAGGACCCAGGCCAGAACCCTGCCTCCCCGCTCCCTCTTTCCCCAGGATACGGGAATCTAAAGACAGGTATGGACCATTCCCTGAGTCCTCTGAGGCAGGTCAGAGAGCCTGACAGGCTGCAGGGAGAGGAGGTCAGGCAGGCCAGGAGGCGGGTTCCTGACACCCCAGTGGTGGGAGAGGGAGCCTGGTGGCGGCTGTCCCACAGCAGCCCGAGGTTTCGTTACACTCAGTGGCGGGAATCAGAAGTTTTCAGGTGGCAGGAGACACAAGGGGAAGGGGGCGAGGCTGGGGCAGAAGTGAGCTGGAGATCTGGGTGGGGCATCCACCCAGAGGGGACGAAGCCTCCAGAAACACACTGGCCCAGGCAGCCTTCGGCATTCACTCCTCTCCACCCTGAAACCCCTTTGCAGCCCTTAGAATTCATTGCCCAGAAGGGTAGGTGGAGTCCCAGAGAGATGGCATGGATTATGGTCGCAGTGTTGCCTGGGATCCCAGGCCTCCTGACTCCCAGCTCAGGGTCTACAGGGAGACCGCAAGGGCCTAGCCCCGTTCTGAAGACCAGATCCTCATCAGTGCCACGGCCCATGGACAGGCTTCCCGAAGCGGCCTCTGCTGGCTGTGAGGGAAGCACAGCGGGGCCGAGATGGAGCTGGCACAGGGAAGGGCTTTGCAGAGAGGGAGCAGCCGAGAAGGCAGGGAAACTGGGATGAAACTGGCTATCTTGGAGCCTAGAGGGGGAAGGGATGGGACAGGCGGGGCTGGGTAGCTACAGGGGCCTCTGCACCCTCCTGGCCATTTCCACCCTGCCTCTCCCCCATAGCACCCTCTGTCCATCCCCTGCCCCTTCCCCTCCAGTCTTATCTATCTTTACGATCTGGCCTCCACATCACACCTGCTGCTGTTTGCCAGCCTGCCACCATCCGGAGTTTCTTGGAGGGACACCCCCTGCCCACTTCCCAGGCACTGCCAGGGCCTCAGGCTCCTCCTCAGCCCGCAGGCAGGAGCCTCCACCTCCAGAGGGAGAGCCATGGAGGGCACCATGGGAAGAACGTGAGCACAAATCCAACAGCACACAGAAAAAGAGACTGAGGTCAGAGGAAGTAATTTTCTCAAGGTCATGCAAGGTTAATCATTTTTGGACTTGGGAGTGGAGGACAGCCTGCAGTTACTGGGCTCCTACTGCGTGCTGGGCATGGTGCCTGGCACCTATTATCTCATGGAGCCAATAGATGGCCCTTAGGGAGGGACACAGAGAGGCAGGGGTGAGACTGGCCAGAACCCTCATTCCAGTGTTCTTCCACCTTCCACATGCCTAGGACGCAAGCCGCGATCTGCTGGGAGCCCGAGAGCAGGGCCCGACCAGCCCTGGGGCTCTCAGGCCTAACCACGGAGCTGGGCTCTCCCACAGGCATAGGCACAGAGAGAGACAGGGCCTGCCCCTTCCCCTCAGCCCTGCTGGCCTAGACAGTCACCGATCGCTGTGTCCCCTGGGATCCCCCACTGCCTGGACCCCTCGTGCTCCTTCATCCCCCAGCCCTCGTCTGGCTCCTGGAATCCCTGACCCCTGTCTCCCAGAAAGCATTCTCCTCATCATCTCCATTGAGCTCTGTGCTAATCGCATTTGAACATTCACTTTTTCCAAAAAAAAAGGAATTACTTTATTTAACTTTATTTTTATTTATTATTATTATTATTATTTTGGAGAGGTTTTTGTTATGGGGTGTGTGCACTCGCCAGAAAGACAGAAAGAGACAGACAGAAAGTGAGAAATCACCCCCCTGGGGGATGGCCACACCACAATCCCTTCTCCTCCATTCTCCTCTCGGGATCTTGGGCACGCATGCACACGTGCCCAGTGCGAGTTTAAGCCACTGGGTCCGGGACTCGAACCATGGTTATATGGGAGTCCAGTGACATAGCCATTACGCCAACTGCTGGTCCCATTTATTTTTACTTATTTTAATTTGACCAAAGAGGGACAGAGCAAAGGGGGGCGGGGGGCGTGGTATGTGACAAAGCAAGCCACCAGGTCTAGGACTCAAACCAAAGTTGGCCATGTGGGAGTCCAGCATCCCTGAACATTTACTCTTAATTTTTTTTTTACCTTTTCCAAAGGTTTTACTAAGTCCAAGGTGGTGGTGATGGGGGCGCTGAATGGCCTGCTGACACATCAACTGATGCTGATGAGGGGACCTGAGCCCCCCGAAGATGCCTAAGCTCCAGCAACCCCGCATTGGCCCTGTGGCAGCCAGCTGCGGGAGCAGGGGTCCCAAGGGCAGAGGAAACTGCAGGAGCTCCCTCCACCTCCTGAGCCTTTCCACTGCGTCCCTTCCAGGAAGGCTGTCTCAGGCTGCTACGAGAGGCTTCCTGGAGGAAGTGAGCTCAGATGAAGCAGTTCTTTAGAATCAGGGTGGGCTGCTGGCTCAGGGGAGAGGAGGGCACATGGGAACAACTTTTTCCCTTAAGATTCCAAAGACCTTCCCAGCCATGACCTTCTAGATTGGCAGGGAGGCCAGAGAGGGGCAGTCAGTGCCTTGTCCACACAGGCAGGGGACATGCTGGCAGGAGAAACAGGGGAGAACAGGAGGTGGGAAGGCTCTGGGCCTTAAGGGAGGATCCGCCGCCTTCGTATAGCACCCCACAACGGCCCACTCTGTCGTCAGCTCCTAGTCAGTGCTCCCGGGGCCCAGGCTGGCCTTTCATTCGGTGCTTAGAAAGCCACAGCCATGTCTTCCGGGCCAGCCTCCAGCCCCCTTGTACTCCTGCCCTTCAACGCCTTCTCATCTGACAGGCCCCACCCCCTCTCACTGTCTTACTGTCCTCTGAGCACATAGGGCCAGGAGGCCAGTGGCCCAGGCCTGGCTCTGCTCACACCTGGATGTGGCCTTAGACATGTCCCTGAACTCGCTGGACTCAGGATTATCAGGGGACGATCAGGCACGAAGCCTGTGATCCTAATGACAGAGATTCTGGCATTTTATCACAATGATAACACCAACAGGCGCTTCTAAGTGCGCAACGTGCATTAACGCGTCAGATCCCCCCAACGCCCTAGGAGGTAAGCGCTGTCATCCCTCAGTGTCTGCGGGGGTGGGTTCCAGGACATGTCATGGTTACTAAAACCTGTGGGTGCTCAAGTCCCTTACAGTCACTCTCTGCATTTGGAACCCACAGATACTGAGGGCCAACTGTACTATTTTTATCATCTCACAAACCAAAACTGATTCACCAAGAAGTTTTGTAATTTGCCCAAGGTTTCACAGCTAGTACACACGGAGCTGGGATTTGAACCTGGGCAGTGGGGTTCCAGAACCTCACAGAGCAAAGGAGCTGCCTCTGCTTTCCTGGTTCTTAGATGCAGGGAGTTGGCATGTCATGCTCTCCAGGCCCGGGGTTCTGGATTCTGGGGCCAACTCCCAGGCAGTGCTCACAGCAAGCCGAGTCTACCTGATAGACACTGTGACCTCAGACCCCACTCTGTGGAGACCGCAGCAGTTAGAAGAGATTTAGCTCTGTGAAGAGAAAACCTACCAGCTGGTATTTTCCCTGAGTCCTTCTACCCCACAAAGCCAGAAAAGACATTATCATCTCCCCTTCCATGCTGGGGTCAGCAACCTGGCCAAGAAAGCCCACCTGGTGGGAGCTGGGCTCCAGGTCAGACCAGAGGCCTTGGAAGGGCCCCAGGCCTGAGAGCCTTTGGCCGTGCAAGACAGTAATGGGACAGAGAGAGCAGCTTACCGGACTTTCCCCTCCTGGGGCAGCTCGTGGTGGGGGTCCTCACACACCAGGCGGGAGTTGCCGTCCAGCAGGTAGGTGTAGACAGTCTCCTAGGATGGAAGGCATGAGTGAGACCTGCAGAGAGGCCCTTTTGGCTGCCTGGTCCGGCCTGCACACAGGCCCTCTGGGAGTTGTTTCTGCTCCCCAGGGGCAGCCAGGGTGGCGAAAGCCCCTTATGAACTGAGCCCACTCTCTCCTGTTGGGAGGAGTTCTGGGCAGGTAGTGGCCCATAAACTTGCCCACTTTCCTTCCCTGTCACCCCAAATCCAAGGGCTGAAGGTGCAGGCAGACCACCCCCTGCCTGCCCCCAGCCTCAGGCACTCAGCAAACAGTAACTGAGAACTGGCCCTGGCCCTACCAGGGGAGGGCATAGAGTGGCAGTGGCCCATGGGGCTTCCCTCTCACCTGCGGAGACACAGGCAGCTCTACAAGAAATCACATAGTTGGAACCAGGAGAGGAGCACAGAGCAAGGCACTGCAACCATTCATGGTAGGAGCCCAGGAGGGCTTCCTGGAAGAAGTGATTTTTTTTTAACAGCATACAAAATGAATGTTCCTAGCATGAATACACTCTATATTAGTCCAGTCAAAGATATTACCATATACATTATCATCAGCAGATAATTTTCCATTTCCATGTTCATGAAATGTTCTGCTTCTTTTTTTTCCCATTGATTCCCTTCCTCTCACACCCCCTTATTGTCACTCTCCTCCCACACTGTCTCTAGTAACTACAGTGGCTCTTCATGATTTATACCTTTTAATCTTTCCGTTTCTGTCATGGAGTGCAGACATTTAATGTATATTAAATGGGAACATACAATGCTTCTCTTTCATAGTCTGACTTTCTTCACTCATATTAAATCTTCCATATTTGTTCACTTTTGATCAAATGCCAGGATCTCATTATTTTTTATGGCTGAGTAGTATTCTGTAGAGGAATACAGCTAAAAAGTGTAACTAAGTGGGAATTGAACCAATTTAGGGAGTGGACACATACTAGATATGCTGGTAGGCCCAGAGGTGTCAAGAGCTTGTAGCATTTAGGAAGTGACAGTGTATGTGGGGGGGGCACAGGTGGGCTTGGGGTCAGCGAGGCGGAGCAGGAAGGGTCTTATAAATAGAGCTGGGGGAGGGGTGGGCCGTGAGCAGATTTGTATTTGGAAGGCTCACTCCCCAGAGTGAGATCGAAGCTCTTGCTCAAAGTCTTCAGCCTTTCAGGTGGCCCTGCCCAAGAGCCCAGAGCCATCTCGGCCCTCAGTTCCACCCACATCTTGGCAGAAGGCACTGCCCTCACCGACCCACAGGCCCAAACTCAGGGCGCCCGCAGGCAGAACTCCAACCTGAGTTCCCTAGACAACCCCCACTCGGCACAGCCTTGCAGTGGGACACCACCGATTTCTCTGTGGGAGGTGGAGGAGGACTCGCCTCTGCTGACAGTACCACGGAGGGCTTCAGGAGGGGGCGGCACTGGAGTGGGGTGTTGACGGCCACCCTCTTCTCTGAAGAAGCAGCTGCCTTCCGTGACTTAGTCCGCAATTCCCCCAGCCGCTCTTGCCCATGAGGCTGTCCCCTGCCCCAAACCCCAGGAGGAGCCCTGCCCCTATTCCAGGGACAATGAGCCAGGGGTGGGAATAACAGGCCCAGAGGGGGTCAGGGGAGACACTGGCCAGGCCTGGGGTCCCCTTGTTCTCTGGGGATGAGGAGCTAGGCTGGGTGGGGAGGTC